CTCCTCAAATCCAGTGCTGACTCTAAGTTGGTGTGGGAAACCATGGAGAGCCTGAAAAAACTGGGAACCAGTAACAAGGTAACCCTTGCCTGGGTTCCAGGTCACGAGGAAATCCACGGCAACGAAACGGCAGACGGGCTGGCGAAGCAGGGGCAATAAACGCGGACGAATCTTCGCCAGTAGGAGTCCCCCATGCCATGAGTGTAAGCCATATAAAGGAAAAGCTCCGACGTGAACAATCGGAGCGGTGGAAAGACACAACGACCTGCAGGAAAGCCAGAGCAATCATGCCTGGTCCCAGCAAGAAAAGATCGAAACGCCTACTGGCCATGGACAGGAAGAGTCTGGCCACTATGATCAGGCTGCTCACAGGACATGGCAGATTTAAAGAACATTGCAGTCATCGGCATGGACTCGGATGGGTAGTGCTGATTCTGTAATAAATCAAAAGAGGACAGTCTACACATCCTATGTGACTGTCCGGCTCTAGCAGCGACGAGACTGCGCTGATGAGGAACTGCCTTCCCCACCGCAAACCAAGTCGCGGACAAGGATGCAACGGATCTGTTCAGACTGGTAACAAAAACCGGGCTGAAAATATAATCTGCGCATAAAACAAGCGGAGCTACAATAACTCTAATTTGCGTTTGGTGGCATTGGAGAGGATAGTCCGACCATCCACGAACCCTAATCTAATCTAATCTAATCTACTGAATCATGGCATGCTGACGTACCGGCATTTAGTGCATATGAAAAAATGCAAACTCATGAATTTCATCAGCTGAACTAACGGAGATCAAAGACATTCGAACTCGAGTGCATAGTGGTTCATTGTAAAGTTATTAAACGAAGAACTTCTCTGAAAAATTTCACTGTTACAAATATTAGACGCTTTTGGGAAACAGCAATTGGTTGCAAGCATCAAACTTCAGGCGAAAAAAAATTTGATATTGATGGAAAGGATGAGGCGATATAAATCGTAAATTTTTAAGAAATACTTGAGTTGTAATTATGATCAATCCCTTACCAGATCTCCGCTATTTAAATGGTGTTTTACTATACTCCCCAGACTTTGAGAATTATAGGGGCAAAATATTTCGGTGGTATACCACTGTAAGATATTTGATGTGTCACAAATTCGTTGCTGTGAAAGACAAAGATGAGGAGGATGCTTTGGATGACTTATTCGGTCTATTATCCATCCATATTACGCAAATATCGGTTGTGATTGGTAATTGGATTGAAGAACTAATAAGGAAATTACGAGACAATTTTGTATGAGATCGCTCGGTCAGTTGGAGCGGTGGCTAGAAGCGAAAGAGAAAGCACAGTAGCATCGATGCTAGGGATGATGTCAAACTCGGTATAAATATATTGTTTGAATCATTGAAAACCAAGATAGGAAAGTGCTCTTGATCATGATGTTGTTAGTGCGAATCAAAAACATTGTCTTTTCCAATAAATATTGTTAATTCATTAAGTTGAATGATTGCATTCCATTTTCAAATGGGTTTCTTGACGCTACCGGTCAGCAAGCTCTATCTACCGACTCGTTCGTGTAAGAGCAGGGACTAGGCTGCGTTATTAAGAATGAAGATCGCTCATAATTCAAACTCCAGACTAATTTCCACAGGTACCGCTTCCTAAGAAGTCGTTTTACTTGCAGCAATCGATGACGATGAGTGGTGCTGTTAGCAAGACATTCATTCTACTGAATAGTGGCTCAGGCTCTTGATGGTAATGGAATGTGTTGTAGATGTTGTACATATTGTAAGGAAGAACTGATTGGTTCAGTTCAGTTTCCAAATTTTTATTTCCATGAGAATAACTCTGTGAATTCGAAAAGAACTCGATTTTTCGATAATTATGATGGTGAAATGCCCTTCCATCTTTCCCACCTTTTTTTTCTTGTCGGATGTCGAAGATGACCCAACGCCGTTTCCGCAATTGCGATGATCACTTCATAGTCCAGACATATTTTGCTGGGTTCAATACCAGAGGATACTCGGATGATTCCCAAGAGCAGAAGCTAATCGGCACCACGTTGTTTTTCTAAATCGGATTGAGAACCTACACTTTTCAGGTACCGGCAAGTTTAATGTAGGGCAGCATGCAATTCATCGAGGTAATTGTGTTAGGCCCCAGAAATACCATTAAGTTAACTAGTATCATTACTCGCTTTTTCATTGATCTCGATAATATGAGGACACACATGAATTGGCACATGTAATTCAAAATAGATAATGGCGAATCAGACAATATTGTAACATATACTGTTGAAGTATAAATTAGCCCGAGTATTCGTGGATAGTGTCCACGTATATTCGTCATAATATGGGTCAGCATCGGCACTACGCTCCATTAACTGCTATGGCACCTGGGACGTTACCCAATCCGTCTTCAGGTGTACAACAAAGATAGAACACTGGTCGCAATCGAGTCCACGATAAAGTATAACCTCATAAATTCGTTACCTCTCGGTCAGTTTGTCAGACAGAGTCAATTAGTAATGAAACGCTTCGTTAAGTCACTTTTTTGTAACTTATAATGCATGATACCTTGTGACCTTCGGTAAAAATATAATGTTGAATAATTCTTACCAAGGCACGAAAATTCCGGTAGTCGAGTACAGGCGGCAAGAATGAATTAATTTATGAGAGGCCTGAAAGAAGAGACAAGTTGGAGATGGAAATTAATTTGGAGGGATTTCAGATCAAAGAAAGATTATGTATATGTGTGATTCTTCAATACACACTCATTCATGCAAATAATACTCTTGTGCCCTTTATTTATTAATTTGAAGAGGAACTGTAAGGTGAGCCTACTTGCGACGACTTGACACAATACGAGCAAAGACGGGAGATTTGAGTGTTTCAAGAGTAATGGGGAAGAAGTTAGGGGAACGACGTGAAAAAAATTACTAATAGTTAGGAGGCTGAAAGTAGATACAGCGATAATTACAAGAAGACTCGTCTGGGAGGGGAAATATGAAAAGGGTACGGTAAATTCCTTGGGGTATGGACGAAAATTGTGGGAGTCACGGATAATGGTGTCCACAAAATTCTGTCAATTTTTTTCTCCAAGTTGCTCTTTTCTTTCCACTTCCTTCCGCCTCCTCTTAGTGTAAATGAGTGCACCAAATCCTCTAAAAGGGCACAACAAACAGCTCACAGTAGTCTTTCAAACAATTCACAGTTCTCTCTACACTGATCCCTTAAAACTCCGCTCAATGATTTCTCATCACTCTTAGTAATGATTCCTCAAAACTATAATCACTTTAACGGATTAGTGACCCGCGGGGCAGAAATGGCACGAGAGATCTCGAGATGCTCTGTTCTTCCCTGGGTCACGTGGATTGCCAACTTGTTACGTCAAGTTCGGAAGACCAGAGATATTGATTGATCGATTTGTGAGATTTGAAATTAAAGAATAGTACGTCGATACATTAGCTTCACGGGATAGTGCATTTGTCTCCTTCATTCCTCTTTCGATGTTCAATCTTTTACCTCAATTGTGGGAAAACTCATCCAGTAAAGTCAATGTTTCAGTTGGAAGTTCAACTACTCCTCCTACCTCGCCAACCCGAAAGGAATGTAGCTACTTCAACCAGTTTTCACCGCCCTGTTCCAGTCGAGCTGCCCACCCTAGCACTTATCACCTTGAACCGACCCCCCACTTGTACTTACAGAACCGTACACCAGAACAGAGGTGGGCAACCTCAGCTCTCGGAGTTACTCTAACTCCCGATCTCCATTAGGCAAAATTGTCCTAAGCCATAAAGTTTATATGGATAACTGATTCAATTATTCGAATAAAAAATCTGAAATAAACAGGAAAAGATAGGAAATCAATCAAAGCCACGTAAAAGAGTTAAAGTTGAATCCATTTGATTTTTTACAGTTTCACGAAGTGTAGTGATGGTACTGTCCATCTTTTCCGGAACAATTCCGATTTAACTCTTCCATATTGCGAATCACATAAATTTGACTTTGGATTCATCTCGACAGCAAGTAATCCCTTTAAGATGGGTGTGGGATTGTTTTGAGTCTTGACAAGTATTCTGTCACAAGGATTGGTGGAAACTGAAGAAGAAGAATGATTAAGTCCATCAGTGAAAATGAGGAATTAAGGAAAATATAGTCCATCCGTCCTCGTAGTGATCATTATATGAACGTCCCCATAGAATACTCAAGAATCTCAGATGACACCGTAATGTCCATTATGCAATTCTTCGTGTCCCTGAAATTACCATTACGAGAAGGCCGCCCTAATGCCATTTATAATCGATTCAATTTTTGTACAAGAAATTTAAAATAACTAGAAAAAGTTAGGGAATAAAAAAAACAAGTTACTGGAAATTTCAATTTATTCTTTATCATGAATATAAAAGAGAAATATGGTTCTTTTTCATCATAAACATACAAAAACCGTTGGGCAAACATAAAATAAAAGTGCTAATTTTTGCAGTAATGAACATATAAAAAAAAATTGCAAAAATGTAAAAAAAAGGAAAAATAAGAGCTCAAATTCTTGATACTCCATGAGTATTAATGATTGGTCATCTTCTTCTTCTGAGTCCATAGCCAAGTTCTGACTTGAGGAACAGTGCGTACTCTCATACATGCATTTTTATCAATAAACTCCTGCATCTCTCTCCCAGATGGGACCCTTCCCGCTTTTAACTCTCCCCCGAAGGCTGCTAGCGTAGTCTTCCTTTCTTGATCGGACCAGGGCTGTTTTCCCGTTGAAGTAGTCGATGTGGTTGAACTACTCATGCTAGGGCCATCTCCAGTGTTATCACTACCTCGGTTGGATTTTCCACGTGGAATGCAGTGCTCTCTAATACTAATGTGATTTAAGTCGTGCTCAGATGGAGTTAGACTCTGGGCAGTATTTAAAATCTTCGAGATTCTGATGATGTCAGTTTCCAAGACCGGCTGTCGATAAAAATCCTTATGGATTTTTTCGACATGACCCATGAAATTTGCGAGATCAGTTACTTAACCATCTGTTAGATTTAATGCAATGCACTTCGTAGCAATGTGCTTCCTCAGTATCGTACCACGTACAGTTTCCGGGGCGCCGGTTCCACATTTAACCGAGTACTCTCGCATTAAATCACATGCACTGAGATAGCGATTGCCAGTTTCATGAGCTGAAAGCAATCCAAATAAATATGCATTTTTTTCGGGATACCTGCATTTTCCCTGTGGTTAATCAGGAGGTTCAAACAATCCAGCACTTCCTTGTCAACCAGAACTGGGACACCACGGATCTTAAACCTGGAGTATTTGCTGGTCAACTTCTTTCCCTCCTCGCTCAAGCCGTCGTAGGCTTCCTGGTTTGAAGCATGATCTAGACCAGGGATGGGCAACCACCAGGTAGCTCGGAGCAGAGTCATAATCTCGAGCTAGGAATCCAATAAAGTTTATAACCATGCGAATTATAAGGATCCTAGTACGATCATAGTGGGGCCTCACAGTTACCGTACTGGGGAGCGTCCCATGACGTCTCTGTCAAATGGTAAAATGGGGAAAATGGCCGCCGCGATTAATATAAATTAAAAAATCCACACATAGAAAAAAAATTTTCTGAATATGAAGATAACTATTGGTCATTGCGATAAACATGAAGATTTTCTTCAAATTCAGCTTCCCGAATTGAAGACATCTTTCAGCTTGCTTTTTAAATTTTTGGTCCAATAACGATTTTACCGAAAAATATGTCAAAGAAAAAATACCAAACATTGCAGTTTTGACCGGCTGATGTTGATTCTCAATATAAAAAAGGAATATTTTTTAAAAATAATTTTTTTTTTAAATTTTCTTCAATTAACATTTTTACTTCAATCAATTTCATTTCTTGTATAAATAATTGCGTGACCACTGAAACATGGCATTGTAGAATTTGTTATTTGCCTCTGAAATTAAACAGCCGGTTTTTTATAAATTAATATAAATGTCATGGTGAAGAAAATTTCACATTTTCCATTTTTCACTCATTTCCCCGCTTTTCCTTTTCTTCAGCGACATTTGTCCTCTTTTCCTGTTCTTGAGTGTTACCCCCACTTTGGTTGATTTCAGCCGAGGAGAAGGCCCTTTACGACTTAGGTCGTAAAGGCCCATCACTGGAGCAGAGGTTGCCCATCCCTGATCTAGACTTCGGTGACTGCGAAAATCCTCGATGTAGAGGCGCTCAATTTCTCCCGGTCGACGACGGTTGAAAATTCGAAGTGATAGGAGTGTCATCCTGGCGAGGCTTTCCCAGCTGATGTCCAAAAATTTCTCTGTCATTTTCTCATAATATTTGTCTCGCTCCATTTTAATGAAAGCATGCAGCTTCTTAATATCTTCAGTGGTGGGAAGGACAACTTCCTTACGTCGATTATTTTGGGCTTGAGTTTCAGCCACTCCGCGGTTGATGCCATAGCCTGCTTCAAGTAATTTGATGAAGTTATCGACTTCTTCTGTCTTACCTGGCATTTTTTTCTTAGTGTTCTCATTGCGTAAGAGCTCGGCGAGTTTCTTCAGCAGTATTCCGTATCCGAAAGCTACTGCTGGAGCTCCATAGAGTTTTGTGTCCTCGTCGTATTTCGTAACTACTCGAACAGCACCTATGACCGCATCATAAAACTCGGGTTGAAGAACATCACTGAAGTCCTTGATCCTGTTATCGATTTGTTTAATCGCTATCAGGAACCTACTGCAAAGACGTAAATTGGCACGAACTTGTTTATAACTTTGGCCTTGTGTTCCGTATTTCTTGGCCATTTTATTAGCATAAACCGTTACTAATTCATCATATCGAATTTTTTTTACGACTGCATCTTCGATCATGTATGGATATGATTTATTTCGAACGTCTTTGCTAGAAATTGGGTGCACTCGAGCAGCGATTTTTCTTCCTCGCGCCATCACAATCCTTTCATTCTTTCCATCGTGGTCAACACACTTACGGCAATGATGACCTATGGCAGATCTTGCGTAGTAGCCCTTACACTTACCACAGACTTGGAAATCTTCAGCAGTTATGTTCATTCTGATGTTTGATCGTCTGCAAACAATCAGTGAACCATTGTTGAGCTGTCTGTCTGAATTGAACAAAAAGTCAGCCGTTTTCATGATGGTAGCAATAACTTGCAGTCTTTCTGGGTTTCCTGCTAGAAAGTGCGTGAATTTTTTCACATCCTCCTCATTTTTATGAACCAGCTGGAGATGCCTCGCGAATTTCGTCTGGATTTTTTTGTAATAAATACAAAAATGTTTTTTCACTCCAGACAATGACGGACATGCATGTCTCGGTCATCTGGAGCGAAAATTGGTGCGTTATCTCCATGAGTTATATCAAGTGGGACAACAGGCCATGGCTCGTGTTCGCTATTTCATTCATCCGCCTCTGCGTCTCCACCTGATGAGGATTCATTAGAATCTGATTCTTCATCGCCATCTTTATCAGGGTCGTAGGCATCTGAGCTATCAACATCCTCAGAAAAATCTTCGAGTTTGTCCTTCGTCAAACTCGGCTCCACACCAGTTGATGTTTCATTTTGCTCCCAAAGGGATGGATGAGCCTTGGGTATCCCAAAATATTCCGCAATTTCGTCATTTTTGGAATTCATGACGCCGGAATCTAGGGGAGCCTGTTGACATCGAGTAGTTGTTTGATTTTTCCTGTCATAATTAGTCTTGATCGTTTGTTCAGCTTTTTTTACTAATTTGTATCGAGTTTTGACGATTTCGGTGCTAATTATCTCAGAAATTTTCCTTGATCTTGTTTCTCGAGTATTTGGTTTCGTATTCCCACCGTCAAGATTGGAGTTTTCAGTAAAAAATTCATTTTCCACAAAACGATGCACATCATCTCTCGATTTCTGACTTTTGGCTGATTCTTTCCCAATATCGTAGTCCAATTTAGCGATAGCTGAGTCGTAGTTATAGACATTCACCATATCTTCAATCAAGGGCTCAGTAACAGGTACGTTTTGCTCATGAAATTTCGCAGTTACTCCTTTGATAAATGTATCTAGCCCTAGATACATTCATAGAATAAAAATACATTCGTAGAGAAGTGCTAAGTTCTGGACTCACACTCTCATTTTCATTGTCAGTCTCGGGCACTATTTCGTCATTTTTCTTCAACTCTGTAGGACAGTTATTGAAACTTTTCTCTTCGAACGATGGGATTGTTTCATCCAAGATATTACTAATGGGAGTGGGTGCGAAACTCAGAGAAGAAGGCCTATCTTTTGATGTGACCGTAAAAAGTTAATCGATAGTAGGCTTATTCGATAAATTAGTTTCAATATCATGATCAGTGGATTTCACAAGCACAGCTTCAGCCGAAGATATTTTCTCAACGAGTGAAACGTGTGATTCCTGTTTGGAAGTACACATATCCTCAGGAAAATTGTGATCCTCTGAATCCAACCGATTTTCTATTTTTCTCTTGATAAAGCCATTCTTTGTAGTCAGGAGTTAAGTAGGCAGGGCTGGTGCTCTCCTAAACTCTGATACTTCTGTTATTTGTTGAATCCTCTCAATTGCAATACTTAGCCCTGATTCTCCGTCAGTGTTTCCGGTATTGCTCGGTTCTTCGTGCCCAAGAATCGCTGGCTCCTCGGGAATCGACTGTTTTTCACAGATTTTTAGTTGTGTTTCCTCATGGAGGTCCTCAAGGAAATTTAAAATTGGAATCAGCATAGCTGACGCTCCCTGAGTCTCTGATGCCTCTGGTATTGGTTGCAGTACCTGAACAGTCAACAGATTGTTCACTGTCCCGGTTCCAAGAATTTCTGGCTCCTCAAACTTTAACCTTCTTCTACAGCTTTGTGATCTTTTATCCTTGCCGAGAACCTCACAGGAATTGAGGAGTGGAATCTGTATGGCTGACTGTCCCTGAATCTTTGATACGTCTGCTATTTTTATAATTCCCTCAACTGTCACATCAGAGCTGGTTTCTCCCTCAGTTTTTCCGCAATTACTTGCTCTTCCGTGTCTAGGAATTGCTCGCTCTTCAGAAGAGAACTGTTTTCCAGAGCTTTTCAGTTGCTTCTCCTCACTGGCTTCCCCGCGAGAATTTGGTAGTGGAATCATTGTGGTCGATGCATCCTGAGTCTCTGATATCCCTAGTATTGGTTGTATTCCCTCAATCTTTCCACCAAAACCTGGTTCTCCTTCAGTATTTACAATGGTGCAGGACCTGTTGGCTCCTCAAAAATGAATATTGTTCTACAGATTTTTCGTTTGTTTTCCTTGCTGGGATTCCCACAGGAATTTAGGAGTGGAGTCTGCATGGCTGACCCTCCCTGAGTCGTCGGTACCTCTGGTATTGGCTGCATCCTCTGAACCGTCACTCCCAAGCCTGATTCTCTCTCAGTTTTACTGACTGCTCAGGAATAGACTGTTTTCCACAGCTTTCCAGTTCCTTCTCTATATTGAGATCCTCATGAGAAATTGGGAGTAGAATTAGCGCGGTTGACCCTCTCTCAGTCTTTAATACCTCTGGGATCGATTGAATTACCTCAACAGTAGCATTATAGCTTGATGCTCCAGTTTTTTCAATATTCCTCACTTCCTCAATTACGGAAATTGTTGGCGTATTGGAATTCAGCCTCCTACGACACTTTTTTTGTTTATTAGTTCCAATGCGATCATGGCAATTTAGGGCGGGAAGTATGACAAGCGGTCGCTCTCCATCATCTGACATCTCGACATTAGGATATGAGTTTCTGTCTCGTTGAAGATTTCTGCGATTATCACTGTAGGTCGGTGGAGGCTCTGACTCCTCTGAATCCGTGTTAACAGTTCCTTCCTCGTGTTTTGGCGCTTGGGGACTTGTTCGGAATCATCACTGCTTCGTCGTAATTTTTTCCTCTTCTTTGACTGTCACTGATTGGCAATTTACATTGAAAAAGAATGAAGTGATTACTAGTGAAGTTAAATATTTCAATACAAAGAATAAAATCATTCTACCAGCTACAGATCTAGCAACATGGTTTGATGAGAATGTGAGTGAGCCATTGCTCACGAAAATCGATGATTTCCAAAAACGTGATTCGGGATGGGAATTGAGTGGAATTATAAATTTGACGATTAATGTAAACCGATATGCTCCACTGAAGGGTGGCTCTTCAACGTACGTCGAGTTGCCCTATGATATTCAAAGTAAAAAAGCTGTTGTCAATGTCAAAAATTCGGATGAATTTTGTTTTCTGTGGTCAGTTATTGCTGCTCTCTATCCAGTAAAGACGCATCGATGTGCTACTTCATCATATCCCGATTATACCACAGCAATTCTTCCACATAGTCAAAAGCTAATTGATTATGCAAACATTCGCCTCCCCATGACCTTGAGTGATATTCCAAAATTTGAGAAAATGAATGAGCTGTTAATTAATGTTTATGGAATTGAATATGGAGTGAACAGTGAGAACGAAATTGTCCCTTTCTACCTCAGCAAGATGAACTCGCGCATACCTACAATTCATTTACTCCTCTTTTGTTCGAATGTGTATGTTGCAGCTGATAGTCAACCGATTTACCATTTTGCATGGATAAGATCTTTCAAGACTGGTTAGTGCTCAAATTTCCAATATTGCACATCGTATGTGATTGTGTGATCGATGCTTGTATCATTTCCGCGAAAAGCAACAGTATGAACGTTGTAAGAGTATTCATTCCCGGGTCAACACCCCGGGATAATCCTCGAACTACTCTGGTTGCCGCCTCTATTGTTCACGATTGGACGCCAGCCAGGTTTTTCTGGAAAACCTGACGGAAAACCAGCCGCGAAGGAATTTCGTCAACTCCGCGGACTTTCGGTGGCGGGTCTCACAATGCCGAGCCAGCAGCATGACACGGTAGAGTGGGCGGGGTTCACCATCGTACGGGTAACTTCAATCACTAACTTCTGCCGCACTTACGGCATCGCCATCGATTGACCATCGGCATGACCATCCCTCGCACGTGATACTCTCTCCTCTGGGGTGGCTCCACCCCAAACAAGACATAGATTACCTACGAATCCTTCTCACCCCGCAGGGCGCCGAACTTCTCGAGGCACATGCGACGCAGGTATCTGGAGACCTTTCTCACCCACCTAACGTTCACCCCAACTCGAGAGCTCGGTAATAGCAATCTCATTGCGAGTCAAAACCAGAGTTACTCCCCATGCGTCCCAGCCCTTAGTCCACCCCAATACCATGGGTTTCGCCCTAGAGATGAATCTCTGTAGCCTCGGACTCTCGTCCGTAGCATTGTTGCGGTTATGAGGGAAAATAGACCCCTTTAAATCCTGGTCCGTTAGGAACCCTGGATTCGTCTGAGATGTGACTAGATAGGGAGGCAACAACAAAAAAAAAGAAAGAAGGTTGTCTTGTAATGGGATCTGACTGGGTGGGACTAAATAATCGAACCGTAGAAAAAACCACACTCTTGAACGAATTCCTTTTAGTTAATTTATTAAAAAAAAACGCACCAATACACTAAATAGAAAATCCGAAATAAAAAAAAACCGGGGAATTAGCGAGTTTGAAAAGAATAGTGTGTTAGTGTAGTGTGTGTATTTTGTTCGACTTACGGTGTTTGTTGGCTGGACTAAACGGGGTGAAAAACGAGTGTGATCACTCTGGAGGCTCGATGAGGTGGGTCGCTGCAGGCTCTGGCAATGGTCGGTGAGGCGGGGTTCCCGGAGGAGTTTGCAGCCGTGCAAACACTGTTGATGGTCGGTGGAAAAACTGGTCTGAGCTGGATTTGCACCGAGTTGGTGGTCGGGTTGCACTTGCACACACTTGTCGTCGAGAGCTGGCAATAGCGAGTTATCTCTGGGGCGTCTTGTTTGGAGAACTGGTACAATTCGGATTTGCAGTCAGGAACTGGGTATCGCCCGATTGATGCAGAGATGTCTAGACTGAAGAACTGGTACAATGGAAGATTTGCCGTCAGGAACTGGGTAATGGCAAAGTCGACCCAAGGACGTCCCGACTGAAGAACTGGTACAATTTGGATTTGCCGTCTCGAACTGGATAATGGCAAAGTCGACCCAAGGACGTCCTGACTGAAGAACTGGTAAAACTCAGGTTCTTTCTTGGCTAGACGGCGTTTGTCGTCGGGAATTAGTACAA